ACCTGTAAATGGCATTTTGTTTGCCAACCCACGGGTACGTTTTTTAACAACCATTTCATGAATAATGGTCATACGACGGCTTTACCATCATGCTTCATGCAAATGTATTGTATTTTACAGAAGCAATATCCTAATATTGATTTAGGTATTATTTTCTATAGAAACAACGAACTGATTAACTTTACAGATACCACTAGTCTGTCAGCTGAAACTTAAACCATTGTTCCCAATCGACTTAGTTGCAAATTACATTATGCTCTTAATATGTCGAGTTGACAGGACTCAATTATATTCCGCTCAAACCGTCTAACGAAGTAATTATAACGAGACATTTTCTATCATATTGTCATTTAATAGATCTGATGACCATTTTGTCTAAAGATGACCGATTTCAAAATGAATCTGCTTTATTCTAGATTTGGGTCAAAATAACACAATAACTAATCAAGTAACGTCTAGATGTGATGCTTTCGGTTTTTCAAAAGTATGTGTCTTTAAACAGGAATGACGTGCGCAAAGTAGTCTATGAAAACTGTCATGGAGTGTAATTTGAAAGTAAAAACTGCACCGAAAAAGAGCAATAGGCTTGTTCAATATTAAAGAAGTATGAATTATTCCGTCCAAATTCCAGAAATTAATTATCTATCCCGATGGTATATCAATAAAGCTTTGGGGTACAGATCTACCGTTGGCGCTACAAAGTGCATTTTCTTAGGATACAAGTCTATCTTTTAGTATTGATTATTTTATTGCTAGCCGCTGACTGTTTGCATTGTTGAGACCCTTGGAGGAGAAACCATTATTAAAATCTCAAACGTAGAGTGCTCAAAAGGAGATTCAGTATTTTCTAATTTAATTTAAGATCGCGGTTTGATCGGTCTCCAAGATTACCTACCACGATTGCTACATTTAAACTTCACTAACAATATCCTTCAAGCGCACTATCTTTTCCAAAACAGGGAAACTTTCTTTTTATCTGAAATAAATTCGTGATTAAACACGTACATTCCATTTCGTTTCGTTTTATCTGGATAAAAGCTTTTAAAACAATTATAGTTACGTTTTTCAACCAGTTACAAGTAACTTTAGTGATTGCTTCAGATTCGTCAAGGGAATTTCGACGGTACGTCACGTCGCTACGTGCAGATAAGCAAGACAGATCAAAAGAGCCGAATCGATAACGAGGCTGGAATGTTCTCTTTACATCAAAGCTTTGATAGTGCTAGTTATGGCTTTTTGCCCGTTCTACTTTAGTGCGTCAAGTTAAATCCAAACAAAATTACTTTAAAAAAATGTATGTATTAATTAATGATCTTTGTAAATGTAACTCTGGAATAGTATATGAACGTCGGAATATTTTATATAGAACAGATCTCATGCAATATCTATTTACTCCAAACGCCCTTGCCTACGGCCGGTGCATACCTAAATGGTTTACGTAAATAAAGACCCGCGAAGTAATCTAGAATAGCTTATCTAAAACAAAGGAACAAGACAAAAAATGAACGGTTTCGGAAATGATGCAACGAGTGCCGTAAGCCAGTTCATAAATGTAATATAGCATGCTGTTTTCTAATCAAACCAAGTTGATTGATTCTTCGGGACTATATATGTATTATTCTTTAGATCTATATAGACCAGTATGTCGATATGCCGATTTACAAAATGGGTTTATTTGAATGCGTTATTCTTTTACATGTACGTATGAAAGGGTTTTAGAAACGAAGGTAAATCAATCAGGAAAACATACGCATGACATCAAAACAAACGATGTTTATATAGAGGCGTGTGGTGGCATTTAATAAGTAAACTTATATAAGTCTCTGAACGTCATTTGGGGATCGATGATCTTATGTAAATTATAATATTGTGAATATTCTAAACGAAATATCAGTCCTAATTGGTTAAATCCCGTTCAATGTTATGATGACTGAGAACAATAATTTTAGGGATTTTGAATCCCTTGCTAACTATAATATTTGAAATTCTTAAGAAGTTCAGTCCAAAAATGGTTCATTTCCGTTTAGTATTTACTAAGATATGATGTAATGAATATTTGTCAATATTTGGTTTCACGTGACTTGAAATCGGGCTTAGAGTCCGCTTCCACCTAGGTGATATTGAAGACAAGTGTTTCCTAGGAAATTTGTGAGAGGAGCTGGCCGTTAAAGGGATGCCCGTCAATCGCATGTTGGAGATAGATAAGCGATTAAGTAAGTATATAGCTTTCAACATTTGGCATCCACAGAAGACAATGTATAGGATATAATATGGTCAAAATTATAATTTTCGCCAAATCGTTTGACGGATTTCTGTTTACTCCGACCGAATTATCAATTTAGGTACATTTTAGCTTGGATTAAGACGTGTAAAATTATATATTGCCCGGAAAATCCAAATGACGACTAAGCTATCCCGACTTAAAAAAAAATTATTTGTCTTGGGTCGTTAGATATCCCAACTATTTTCATTTTGCTAAAACATTCTAGTCTTTCAGGAGATATTTTAATTTCAAGGAGAAGTCAAGTTAGTTGTTTATGTCTGAAAGCTGGCTCGCCATAAAACATCGCACGGGGTAAAAACAAAAACTTCAGAGACATTCTTCTCGAATTCAAAGTAAAACCATTCTAAATAGATCGTAAATAGAGTATAGTTATTTTTCATGTTTCCAGAGATAGACACACAAACACGCACGGAGAAAACACGACTGGGCATTTATACACTGGAAATGGCATTGCCAAGATAAATGATTTTAACCTTCTATTAAAGGAAACATTTTTAAGGCTTACTTCTATTTCATTTCCGCTGAAAACCCGAGGCTACAAACATTTTCCGGTTTCCCCTAGAAGACAGAGTATGTTACTAAGCAACGAGCTTAATCTTGAAAAGTTCCGTCTAACTGTTGCATAATTACACGACTTCTCTACGACAAATGGCTTTAGCTCCGTCTTCTTGTCTGAACTTTAATTAGTTGGTCACAAGCACAACATTTTCCTCTCTTAATGGGGAGTAAATCAACCATTCAAAATGCTCTATGTTGTGCTGGATTATTTTATGAGTGGCCATAAGGTATTATTTTAACGATAGCTTCAATTTGGTGAGTTCTGCTGTATGTTGCTTTAAGGTAATGTCGAACATTTAATAAATACCACCCACGGGAGAAACTAGTTAAGATTCCAGCTGGACGCCGAACAAGTAATAGCATCTTTTGCAGATTAGATATTCTAGATGAGATAAGACTGACATCACAATCTCTTTGCTAATGGGGTCCTATTGTTTCTGACAGCTTTTGCCATATAAAATCATTAGAAATGCATTAGTGTTCGAAATCTTGTAATAACGCCTTTGGTAATCATCCATAGAGTGCAGTCAATAACACACGAGGTAACCTTCACGTCTTCGATGATTTCTGCATTAATGGGACCAATTATTACAAGGCATGAATGAAAACATACTTAATGAACCTAAATATTATTATTGTTCTACGCATGATTTCTTTTCTTTGTTCAAATTGGTCTAGTACTGTATACGTACGTAATGTATCTGATAGTCAATATCGATTTTAAAAACCCCAGGGTAATTCAGTTTGATTCTCTAGTGGGAGAAACGTTATGCATGATGGCGACATCATGGCTATAAAAAGAAATTAAACATCCATGAAACATGAGCAGTGAGATAAAAAGGTAATATATTTAATCTCATCAACATCTAAATTATGTAACTTCTTTAAAAGGAAAAGAAAAGGAAAATTGCGAGATATGAACTTTCCAGTTGAAACAAAACATTTAATTCTTTGGGAAACAGTCATCAAATGTCTCACAGGCTGTAAAGACATGTCTGTCGCCTTTTTAAAACAAACAATAACTTTAGAGGCTGTATTCCATCATATTATTAAAAATGGTTTTGATTCGACTTTCAATAATTGATTAAATGTCCTCTACTTGCTATATATATTTTTCTGGGATGTCTGGGCCAGTTGTTAGATACAACTTAATGACCGCCTTCCTGTAATGTCCGACTCAGTCTTCAACCTTTCTACTCTTATCAGACGCTCATTAATATATCATCTATCGTCATTTTCAAACATCGGCAGCTAATACTATCGATTGTTTCCAAATATACATATTTATGCCACACGCTATTAAAAGGTGGGGACTAGTGTATATTAGGTGGATGACAGGTTCTCGAAACTGATCTTATTTCTATATTCTATTTAGAAGTGTTTAGTCCATATCTAAGCCACCCTGGCCTGTCAAATCATTAAGCTAAGTAATGCGCTTTAACCGAATAACGAAAATATTGTATCTGGAGATTTAGAGTCTCCTTCAGAATACACCTGTTTTAAGGAAAATGATCCAGACATTCTTGAATACAGGATTTAGTAATAGTTCCGGAGATGGCGGGCCGACCAGAAATGACAACTCGGTACCCTAGAAGAGACACGTACGTGTCAAATATAATGTCAATTATAATCTGTCTCTTCATGGGTACCGAAATGTAAATGTTAGATCATGAACCATATTCCCGGTATCCCAGACTATTTCATCCCCAGATCCATTCCATGGTATTGTGGCTCTTCACTGTTTCGTGAATAATTAATTTATAAAAGTTGTAAACGACACAATCTGTGCTACTAAGATTTAACATCATAAAATGACTTAATAATAAATGGGTGCTTAAATGTTTAATTGGTAACCATACTCCTCTGTTTAAAGACACATTTATAATTCAAATCAATTTTCTTAGGTTTCAGACTGCACAAAATCAATCTATTTCCATACAAAATATTTACATTTCCACCATCTTGTTGGTTTGTTAACAGACAGTTTGTTTGACTTATCAATGTTGAATAACACAGCATCAAATAATATTTTTGCGTTTCAGACTCCACAAAATTAATATATTTTCAAACAAAGTATTTGCATTTTCGCCATCTTGGTTGTTTTCAATAGTTTGTTTGACTTTTTAATGTTTAATAATAAAACAGTGGTTAAACTTACCTTCAAATGACGTGGTGAAATCTCCCGAATAACATTAACTTGTTTCCCTTCCGGGTCAACACCAGATAGTGGATAAATCACTTCCCCAATAATATCATCTCGCGAGAACCGATCAAAACTTAAAACCACAAAATGAAGAGTTATTCCTGAAAACTGGTTGGCCGCGATTCCAAAGAATGTGAATGTTTCGTCGTAGACTGGATCAAGCGTTTTCCTGAGCACTCTTGTTTTACACTTGTGCTTTTTCTCCGGAAGTAATTGCAGCTTGATGTAGGGGTCACATCCGCCAAGATTTGGATCCCGCGGGGGTAGGTTGGTTGCGTTAGCTATACTAACAATAAGGGCCTGTTTAGCAGTATCATACTCGACAGAAAACTCAACCGAACCCAATTGTGTGGCCTTCTCACTGGGGTATTTTTCCTTTAGTAATTCCTCCTTCTCGGGGGTCGCGCCTCCTTTTTCATGTTCAATATAAACTTCTGATTTGCCATGCCCACACTCCCGAGATGGGGTTGAAAATCCAGCAATAGGAATACGATCTAATCCCCCTAATTCTCCACCGCAGCTTGGGGGTGTGATAGGACTGGTTGCTTTGGATTTCATAACTTTTCCCGTGCTACGGACGGGAGTACTTTTCCTGAAGCTTCCCGAGGTACTCTCCTGAAGTCCTTTCTTTATGGCGGTGGATAGACGATTTTGGGCGTTCACCATTACTCGGCGTCTGTAACATTTGTAAACAAGAGCTGTCATAGAAACCAAAAACACTATGGTACCGAAACATATTCCTCCAATGGCTGGACCGGACACTGTAAAATAGAAGAAATTGTATTTATAACTTTATACATCGGTTCCCCGACAATGGGTTGAAAGTAACATGTCTGTTGCATCATCATTTAATTTTAGTACCGCCGGAATCGGGGGTATTTCGTTCCGACGTCCATGAGTTTATACATTAGTTTTAGTTTTATTAGGAAATGGGTCTAAAGCACACGTTAATGTAATGAGTGTATGTAAAAGTGATTTACCACAATAGTGGCCTGCAACTTCCCTGGGTCCGTCCAGGTGTTTCTCTGTGTATAATATATTAAATTATCCATAAGACGGTGTTCAGATCCATCAAAAACATTACAATGTGGTGAGTAAATTATTTTAAAAAAATCAAGACAAAGACATTAATCAGAAGACATGATATAACTGATGATTGCCTGTCAACTTAATCACAAAATCTCTATCAAATCTCCATTTTGATTGATCTACAGCGGTTCAATCATTTCCGTTATGACATCACCAATTGCTAATTCATGAACAAAGGATTCGCCTGATTTCTCAATTACTGAACGATTAAAGCAGGCTCAAACTTTGAAAGACCCATTATGGTTTAGGTAATGAGAAAATCGTAAATATTTCATTATTCATATGAAGATACCGAGAGATCGCTACACACAGGGAGCAATCAAAGTTGTTGACGTGAATATTACGAGGTTCATGCAAAATTAATGAAATATAGTTGGACTGGGTTTATATAAATGATAAATCTGATGAATATCACGTATATCGATAGAATAAACAAGAAATATTAATGAAGTTCTTTGACACATTCGATATTCTAAGAAGTTTTAAGTGGGTCCTACGTCGCACTGCCGTTCAAAACATGCTTACACCTTTTTACAAACACAATTACTTCACAATTTACTTTAATGAATTCCCATTGTATTGCTCTTCTGAATGAAAATTGATTTCCACACATGTTAATCCATGTTCTGTGTCGGTGTTAATAAGTAGTTGTGGTATATGGAATCACAAAACAACAAGCGATCATATGCATTTTCTTTGTAGCTTTTGTAACCTACTGAAAGTCAGATAATGTATTAAGCTGAAAAGTTGACTACTACGGACCTTAAATTTTTAAAAAGAAATCTAGCTTTCAGTTTCCAATCTTTCCAAAAGGAGATTGTGGCAATGTCATGGTCTATGGCGGATAGGTGCGAGTGAAATCCTTATTATCAGAACACAATTTTTAAGGGAAACAATCACTGGTTTCATTCTTATCGTTATCAAGCACAATTCCCATAAAAATTGTTCCGCTAATGTGATTACCACTTAACTGCCACTTAAAGATTATGTTCAGAATGAAATGCTCGTTTAGTACCAATATATGTAACTTAAAAAGCTGTTTCCCAAACCGTTCGAAAAACCAACCTACGCCTCATATTCCCTCCTGTTACAATTTCTATATACCAATGCGTGATGAAGGTTCGAATACGGTGTTCTGTTTAGATGAAAGAAAACACGGATAAATTTCCTGATTTTCGGACATTAATATGAATCATAGGTTGATGAAAGATAACCAAGTTAAAAAGAAATCGTAATCTCAGAACAAATCTGTGATTTGGACAAAAAAACCTATTAAGGACCACAGCCTAATGGATTGTTTCAGACACGAACGAGCTAAAATCGAAATCGAAGCATGGTGTATTAAAGTGAGTTAACAATATACCACTAATGGTAGTTTCTATACCAACATCTATAAATATAAAATTAGTTATTACACTGATGCTTGGAGATTATTTATGTGACGTCAATAGTATTAGAATACTCTGGAACGGAGAATTTGATTAAAAAGAATGGATTCCATTGAGTTAAACCCAAAGACTGCGTAAAATAATGTTCTAGACAAAAACTAATTGAGATAGGGGCAATGTTTATGTAAGTTGAACAACAAAATGGCTTATTCATTAAGCTCAGTCCGTGGATTTTTAAAAAACATATACTACTATTTCATTAATGGATATTTGGTATTATATAATTATTTATTGACCAGTTCTGCGTAAATTCGATCGATTTAATCAATTGAATGCGTAATGACAGTTGTTGACAGAGCCATTTGGTGGGCCTCTACCTTAAGGGCTTTGTCTCAATCATTGCTGTCAGATCCCACTGGAAATTCAAATATATATGACGTTAATTATTGAAAAGGGTGATCCACTTGAACAGGTAAACATATCATAATTAAAAGTGATCCACATGGACAGATAAACATATCATAATTCAGGATATTTCAACAAACAAAGACAAATGTCCAATTTCCGGCCATTATCGGTGGAATGCTAGTATTTTTACGATGAGTCAACACCCATCCCAGGAACTCTCAAACCAAACGAATATAATTATATTTACTGAGTCAATACTTGGAACAGACACTTCAATTCATATCGGCGTTAGGCTACTATATCATGTTAAATTCTGCTGGGGGTATATTTAATATTTAATATTGTTATCTATTATATGCTTAACTAGATTCATTCATAATCCTGGTGGGTTTCGTATCCATGGTAACTCCACTGGAACACGCGCTCCACCGTCTGTCTAGTTTGGAATAATAATGCTGAATTGGTTTGTTAAACGGAGTCTTACGAAATTCTCGAGAAAAAAATCAATCCTAACTTGACCAAGGTATTGATAAAATATTTAAGTTCGCAGCCTGTCTAACTTGATTTATTTTTCATAAGCTATAAATGTCAAGAAACGCATTAATTTCGATCCTTCGTATTTTATGTTATAATTGTTTTGTATTAATCTATAATATGTTGGTGTTTATGGTAATAAATTTAATATCACAAGCACGTGTTTAATTGCATCCTTTTTCATATTCTTAAGAAAAATCCAAGGGTCTTTTTTAAAAATGGTCGATTTTTTCCAATACAATAAATTTAATTCCATATTTATGTAAATAATTTAATAGATTGATTGATCAATTCATTTAATTAATAAACGAAGCCCGTTGAGACGTTTTCTAGTAAAACTGAAAAATCAATCAAGCGTTAATGCCAAACCTTTTATATGTTTTTCTTAATTAGATCATGATTATTAAATAAAATGGTTTGTTTCACGATTTCTACGAGGATGTCCTCGATTTCAGATCATTTTCATAATTACCTCTTTGAATCAATTCGGCAGTCTTATCGAAGGTTGCCATTAGTCGTTTCAGCAAATTCGGGTGTATTGGGAAAACAAAGTTTTGGTGAAAAGGGCCCGGGAAAACTGTATTTAATCGTATACCTCATATCCGGATTGAAAATTTTGTTCGATAAAGGTGAAACAATTTGACCCCAATTCTAATTTTAACAAATCAATCATGAATAAAATGTAAAATAAGCTAATTGAATGTAGCAGTCTTTTAACAGAACTGATCTATGCAAGTTAACATTTTCTTTAGAGCAGAATTGAACTATTCAAAACATTCCAAGCTGGCGACAGAAAGGCGAACTGGTTTATTATTGACTTGATAAAATTTGATCATGTCTCAATGAACAAAACTTCTTTAAAGATAATTTCTGTTTAAAGGATTGTTTTGCTACTTGACATTTAAGCATCGTTTATTAAACGATATGTTTTATTCATAAGAAAAATAGTATGCAAAAATATTCCCAAAAGATAGACTGGCGGACAACAAAGCGTATACCTATGGCAGCTAAGTCACCCGTACTGTCCATAAGTTTTGTCATAGCGTATATAAAAAGCAAAATCTGTATACCGTACTTTTGGTGCGTAATTATAAAAATTGTATCAATTGAAATTCATGGCAGCCATGGTGCTTTTATAGTCAAAGCATTAGTAAAGAATGGTCATAATTCTAGAATTAATTAAATTTGACAAGTCTGAAAATTATTCAGAGTCCATTTGCCTCTTCATTTCATTAATTTGAACCATTCATATACATTTCAAGTACAACAATTAAACTTTCGTCGCTATATCGAAGTGAACAAGGGTTATAACTCTAGAAGTAATTAACAGAATTATTCAAAACAATAACTATTAAATGCAAGACACAGATTTGTGTGGTTTCATGGAAAAAATTCCCATCAAAGCAAACTTGGTCTCAAATGAAAGTTGGGGTTCGTAGGTACTTCAGAAAAAAATGACCCATCATGATCGCTTAGGGGAAATTTTTGGGGCGGGGTCAATGGTCACGGTCGACCAATCAGAAAAAAACCCAGTCAATATCTCAAAAACTATCAATGTTAGACCTCATAAATGTATTATCAACATTGCGTACAAAATATCTACTATGCTAGATGAGTGGACAGCGTGGTCCGATACTCTGAACCCTTGATTCTTAAGTTGCGGGTCCCCTTCCCATGGGGGTGGGGGGGGGTCTGATAAAACGTCGAAATTTCAAGTTTAATTCGACTTTTGAGTACAATAATCAACTTCAGATGTCGCCAAAAACACTGCTTAAGAAGACCCCCAACCCTTTCTTCCTCCCTTAAGAACACCCCCTTGAGAGAGGAGTTAATTCGACTTCCGCGTACAACATTAATTTTTTCGTTAAAGTTTCACTATTGGTCTGATAGAACATAACACTAACTTAAGAAGGCGAAACCCCCTTCTATCCCGGATAAGAACGACAAAACGGGTGACCCATGGGTGAAATGGCCAAAATGACGATTTAATTCGACGTATGCGTACAACGATCAACTTTAGTGCATATGTCGACCAACCTCAGATGCCATCAAACACACTGCTTAAGAAGACCCACGACCCTTCTTCCCTCCCTTAAGAACCCCCCCCCCCCCCCCCCCGAGATTAGTTAATTCGAATTCCGCGTACAACATTATTTTTTTCGTTAAAAGTTTCACTATTGGTTCACTAGAACATAACACTAACTTAAGCACGCGAAATCCCCTGCTATCTCGGATAAGGAAGAGAAAATGGGGGCGGTGGGCAGGATGAAATGGCCAAAACTGACGATTTAAGTCAACTTCAGCCTACAAATATCCTTCATGCCTATGCAAACTTACCTCTG